ACAAGAACTCTTGAGTTGTATTGCTCCTGTTGGGTATTAAATCTCTTTATAGTCTCAAACAAGAAACGCTAGAAAGAATAGAAAATTCAGTCACGGGCAGCCAGCTCTCAGGATGTTTAAATTAGACCGAGCAATGGATGAAAAACTCTTAGTGCATCAAATCAACTGGTATCTGACCTACTCTAATCTTCAACCTTTAAATAGTAAGTTTGGTATTAAAACCAACCAAACAAAAAAGTAATTTCTGTTACTGCAAATCAGAATATTCTTTAGTCTTACAGGAGGTCTAACAGCTGTATAGCCTCCCTCTCAAATTTGGCAAAGGAGGAATAAAGTTTAGCCAGAAGAATGTTACTTCCTCATCTGGAGTTAGTCAGCTTTTCTCCTTGAATTACAGAGGTGATGTCTGTGTAAAGGCTTAACACAGTCCCTGTGAAGGTGAAATAAAATGCTCCCAGTGATATTGCCATTGGGCTCAAAAGCAGCTGAGATTTAGGGGCATAACACTGTTCCCATAGAAGCCACAACTATAACCCATAACATGGGCAGAGTTTTAAGGGAACTGTAGCAACCTTTGCCAGAGCTTTCCTGCAGTCTCTAACTCAGCTCTGCCTCCATCGATATTCTCATGGATATTTGTGAGTCTCCAGAGTGTTTGAATTTGCTATATGGCAGCTGAAGATGTATGTCCGTAGTATCCATATGGCTACATATACAAATAAGGCTGACATGCATACATTATTTATTTTGCACAAACCAGGCACAGTGAGACTCCATCACCTGCAGCAATTCAAACAGCAGTTGTGTTCCTGTGATGTGAAGCTGACAGGCTGTTTTAATGTTGTATACAGTAGACAGAAATATGGATGAGTTGGGATAAGCATTATTTTTAAAGAAAAAGAGTTCACAAACTCCTGTCGTAATCTACCTAGGATATGGTGTATTTAACTGATTTTACTTTGATAATGCTGTAAGCTGGTCTTTGATAATTGCTTTCTGTAATTGGAACAAATTTAAGATTATGCTAATTCATCTACTGCCACCCAATGTGTAGTAGATGAGTTAATCTATATCTGCCCCTGCATTTCTTTTGTAGATCATTATATGATTAGCCTTTGTTAGAAATTGATGGGGGTATTTTAATTCTGAGCAGATTTAATTTCAGAGGAAAAAAACCAGACATCTGTATGTAAACTTAAGGCATATTATAGCAGTTTTTAAGTCTAGTTCGAGATAGAAACATTTAAGATCTTCAGACAGACTAATTCTTAAAAAGAAATGTATTACATTGTGTTACAAGCAACTGTACGACCTCCACTGATGATAAAGTGAGGGTAGTTAAATGCTAATGAGTTTTGAGTCTACTCTTCTGGCATTGCAGGTTGGCAATTCAGAACACCGTGCCTCATTTCAGTATGGAGACATTATAGGTTTCTTTGTTGCCTTTATTTTGCTTGGTTGTTTTGTGTGTGTGCTGAATTTTTCCAAAGGTTGCATCACTGCAAGTAACAACAACCTTTTGTTATCATGAGTCCTTTAAATTTATCAGTTTATCCTATAAATTAATCCCTTAGTTCTCCATCTTTGAAAGCATCTGTCTGCTGAGGCGAAGGCAGTGAATGAGTTTGAGTAAGTCTGGTTTTTCTTCAAGGGAGGGGAGGCTGGAATTAGAGACGAGTATTTGCAGTGTCATCAAGCCTCCAGATAAGAAGAAAAAGGCAATGTGTGCCCTCACTTACAAATCATCTTTTGATCGCACATCTCTCAACACTTTCATGTTTATATTCCGTCTGTTAAATGTTCTCCCTTCACTGTGATCATCATTCTTCTAAATGCTTTTCATTCACGAAGGCTTGCAGTCCTAGACTCAGTAAACAATGGATCAGTGTGCACTCCCTCCTGGAAAAGCTGTCTACAGGAAAAATAGCCTGAAGTGCTAGTGTAACAGTAATGAGGACCTTGAGCCATCCTGTGCCCCGCACCCACTCTGCCCCGCAAAGGCCCCTGACCCGATGAGACTCAAAACGCAAAATTTATAAATATACTTGTGAAATAATGAACTCTAGTAATACTAGACATGTTTGTCATTTCTTTGACCATTACTATGTTTGTCATTACACTGCACATAAAGTGAGTTTAATTCTGACTGCGACCATTGAATTTCTGTCACTTGATTTATGCTAGTGCTGCTGTTCTATAATTTCAATTGCATTCCTGGTTTCTTTGTGGAACCTTCCTCTGATAATTAGTATTAAAGTTAACTGCAGAAGGGAAGCTGAATAGTAAATGGATTACTTGATTGTTCCTCATCTTACTTAGACCAAAGGAAAATGTAATGCATTCAAAGAGATACTGTTGTTAAGGGAGGAGTCCAGCACTGCTGGATTTAATAAGTCTGTTTGGTGACTGCTCCAGAGCTGTGCCTGGCCATCTACAGCCAATAGAGGTGGAAGTATCAGCCGTGTCACTTAGCTCACGGAATGAGAGGCAACGAGTATGAATGCTAGCCCTGTGATTTCCTGGGATGCTTCTAGCAATGAAAATTAGGATGCCTAAGATACTGGGTGTGTTAAGTTCATGACAAAGCATGATTGTGTCTCCTAACAATATTAAGGAAAGCAAATTCAGGCTGTGAGACTTTTGGTGAAAAGTCTCCTCTGGGTTTACCTAAATAAGCGTACCTGTGCCAGGCACTGCCTCCTTTGACGTCACGGGGCACGCCTTAGCAACTCACTGTCTTGAAACTTCACTCTAAATGTTTATTTGGATATGCACTGTAGCATACAAAGTGATGTGGTCCCAAAACTCTTTAAACTTTTGTGAAGGAAATTGTTTAAAAAAAGAAAACAAAGTTAAGACTTGAGAGGAAAAGGAAAACAAAACCGCATTATGACAGGACTTTATAAGAATGCAGAAATAGACAGGTATGTCTTGAATGCCTAATGTAAGCTTTGATGGTGACATTCTGTCTTTGTTACCATTTTTGGTTAACTGCAGTTTGAGGAAAAGAATATATAGAGCTAAAATCTTTTAACTACTTTCAGTATGAAATGTATAATGTACTTCATGCTCAGGTAATGCCTCTTTTGACAGATAAGTAAAATAATCACTTAATTCCCTAGTCGCCATGTAGGGTAAGTGCCACAGACCTAGATTCTTTTCAAGATAAGTTCCCAGCTGTCTGCTGTGGTGCCGGGACATGAGAATCTATGGATGCGTCAGTCGCACACCTTCTGTCCCCAGCTAACCAAAATGACTGATGCTACTGGAAGGGGAACCTGCTGCCTGGCATGAAATCTAATTGGCTTTGATGGTCAGCTTTTGCAGATTTGTTTATAAACTGGAAAATCTACAAATTGCAGACCATCTGCGCAGAACAGTGTGCTAATGAATGCCTGTAGCTAGCAAATCCATAAGCTCATTATCACAAAGTTACAAGTCCTTCCACAAGTTCCTAAACGAGGTTATTCATCTGAACTGAGATGAGAAGGGTATTTGACTTCAGGGTACAGCCATACCTCCTTCAGGTCTAGAAAAGCTATTAAAATAACGCACATTTATTCAGTCTTTTAATAGAATCTGTTGATTCTGCTTCTATTTTTAATTTTTCACTTCTGTAACAGCAGCTTACCATGCCTTAACTATTTCTTTTTTAATGTTTCAAGTAGAGAAATGCCTTTCAGATAATTGCTGGGTCTACTCAGAGATATGTTGGTTGGTGAACTAGAGAAGATGTATTAAAGTATATTACACACAGCATTTCACAGTATTTATGTACCTTGACAACAAATACTAATGGTCTCTGGTTTAAGAATGTTTATGTAAACTGGGAATCTATTATGATGACATAGCTCTTCCACTGTGTGTGATGTCAAGCAATTTCATCTTTATGTTTCTCTCTCAAGAAAAGTGGAATTAATAATACTTATTATGTGTCATCCCCATTTATTATGAAGCTTAACTGATCTTTGTCCAATTGTTTGAACATGTAAAGCACTGTATATCAAGAGGAGCATTTTTAAATACTTCTTATTGTCTATCAGTTGACATTTTCTTCCATTTTCTTGGAATAAAAGTCAGCCTTTCTAAGTTAATAACCCGTACTGCCTTAAAAAAAAAAAAAAGCGGCAATCATTAGCTGACTTTCACTTGGACTGCTAATCTCCATTGGTCATGTCTCTCCTTCTGCTCGAGTCAAAGGAAGTATTTCCCTATCGTATTAATGAGGTCGTTAGCCCAAGGCATCAGGTGCCTTTCTTTGGCATTACAGGTTTAGACTTTTCCCCATTTTTTTTCATTCTCTCAGGGAAGCCAAAAGGGCTCTCCTAAATAGGACAATAATTGAATAAATGGTTACAATAAAAACAAAATACACAGTGTAGGTTCAAGAACAAATACAGAGGAAATGTTAAGATGCTATTATTTAAGAAAATGATTTCAGGTTCAAGCTTTTAATACTAACGGTGAAGAGAACCAGGAGGTAAATGACATATATTCAACTAGAATGATCCAGTATTTTTTATGATCACTTTTTGATTCCTTGGATTAAATATTAAAGCCTCCTAGCTACCTATCACACAAGGAAAAGTGTAATTTATTGTTCTCCTCCTTTTTTTTGCCCTATCCTCTTCTGCCTCATCTTTCCTTCCTTTTCTCCCAATAGAACAAAAATAATGTTTCCCTTATAATCCACACCCTTGCAATTTGGAATGAGCGCTTTGCTTTTTTTTTTTTTTTTTCCTCATTTTTGTTATTTTATTATGTCCTAGCATTTCATTTGCTGTGCCTTTGTTAATAAGCTCTAGGGTCTTCAGAATAGGAACAGTGTCTTTTCTAAATTTGTAAATGTCTACCTTTTTGGAAATCCCATCCTAGCTTCATTTATCTTAATATTTATAATAAAGACCACAATGACATTAAGTCATTGAAATATAATTTTGCAGATTTCCTGCTTCCATCTTTTCCTACTGCATGTTCTTCTCTGCTTCATCCCTCTCCAGGTGGAATGGCTAAAGAATGAGGAGCCCATAGATTCCAACCTGGATGAGAATATTGACACCAGAGCAGACCACAACCTCATCATTCGACAGGCACGTCTTTCTGACTCTGGGAACTATACCTGCATGGCTGCCAACATTGTTGCCAAGAGAAGGAGCATGTCTGCGACAGTTGTGGTGTATGGTCAGTGAAAACCGTGATAATTATGGAAAAACTTAGATGTGTGCGCTTTTATTGCTGGAGTACTTTATATTTTTAACATACGACTGGTTCTAAATCAAATGGCTAACCTCCTTCCTGTTATGATGAATTTTAGTTCTGTCGCTCAAGGCTGAGATCATGCCTGCTTTTAGAGTGGTTAGAATTAGGAGGTTTTTTGTTTGTGATGGATTCCCAGAAGTTATGTCAATAATAACAGTCCTTGCTCCAGATGTTAAGAAGATGCAATTATAAGCTAAACCACATAAATAAGCCTTGCCTGTAACAGGAGACCCTGAAGCACATGCCTAGGGAGGTACATAAAGGGCTGCCTTAACTGGATCTGTGGTACTGGAGTGTCTGAGCACTAACTAGTGAATCTAGATGTTACACAGCAAAGGACAAAAGACCAGAACCAGTGCTTTATTACCATCCTCTGTTGCTCTCCAGGTTTATTACTGCATGTGACATTTTATTGGTAGAGAGAGAGCATTCCTATATCACCCTTTTTGAAATAAAGAAGTCTTGTTTAGGATTTAAGCAAACCATATTTCATGAGAATTGAGGTGCCTGCTTTTACCTCCTTCTCAGACTCGAATACCAGTCATTGGACTTCTTAGCATATTACTCTTCCAAAACAAACATTTGTGTTCTCTGACACCATGGCCTTTATGTAGTTGTGTACTGATAGGCAGCAATGCTCCTACTTCAGCTTGGGATTTACCTGCCTTTGAATGAAACGATCTGATCAGATTTGTTGGTTGATGTCTCTTAGCACACCTACCACAACCTCAAGAATGTTTGTGTTTTGCAGTTAATGGAGGCTGGTCATCATGGACTGAGTGGTCAAACTGCAATGCACGGTGTGGTCGGGGCTGGCAGAAGCGATCACGGACCTGTACCAACCCTGCTCCACTCAATGGAGGTGCATTTTGTGAAGGGATGTCAGTGCAGAAAATTACCTGCACTTCTCTTTGCCCTGGTGAGATATGCACAGTCTACTAAGGAATAACTTTGGAAGTCGGTCACATTTATGGGAGAGTTCTTTCAAGTCTGAAAGGCCAGGTGGACAACTGTGCTTTGAAGAGCCCACTGAGGTCAAAAAGGAAATTGGAAATACTTGCATCCTTCTTTAGACTACAGCTCAGAGCTTTGTGTAGGGTCTGAGCAGTAGCCACAAGCACCTGTGGCCTGATCTGCCAGGTTTGTCAGTGCTTTAACTTACACTGCAGCTAACTAAATACTCAGTAACAAAACAGCAACTGGTTCAATGTGAAAAATCACGTAAGTGGGTGCGAGTATAGGGAAAGGGGAGGTGATATTAGTAACACTAGAAAGAGAAACACAGAAACCTTAAGCTAAGAACTTCACTTAAAAGTATTATTTAGCTTGCAAAAGTTTGCTTGCAAGTATATTAACCTTTTGAAATTGAGTTTATACTACACAGAGCATGGTGTTACCTCTCTGGACACTGTACATTTCCTCATTTGTTCACCTGAAACCTCCCTTATCTGATTTTGGAATTGGTGCTTCACATGTACAGCTAAAGAAAGTTAGTAGGATTGTATGCATGTATGTTTTAAGAGACTATGTTTGCCTGTGGTCACAGCATAACTTGTCCGGGTTCTGGCAAATCTCTCTTCTAGCTTTTAGATACAACATGTCCTGAACTGGGATTTAAAGAACTCAATATTATTTATATATGTCTCTGTGTTCATCTGACTGTTCTTCAATCTGATTTATGCATGAAAAAGAAAGGGAACTGTGGAAAGCCTTCTCATTTGGGACAGGGTCAGACACAGCTATAAATCAGTCAGCAAAGCAACATATTGATCCATTGTCTTGTTCAGGGCATTAGCCAGAAGTCTACAAGGCCAGCTATGCTCTTTTTGTAAACATCAGCATCGTTCCTCTGATAGGAAAATGTGTGGCCTCTCTACATCAGCTTGTTTTAAGGTGGAATTTGTATTGAAACATTAGAAGTTAATAGCCAGGTGGCAAAGGAAATGTTTCCTCCTGCAGTTTTAATTGACTGTATTTGCAGAATGTTATATACTGGTGCTATTTTAAAAGCTTCCATATTGCACGCTTGAGGTGGTACATTCTATTGCTGGATTTTAACTTCACATCTGATAAAACTATATTTATTGCTCCTGAGAATTATACTTTGTTTTCCTTGCTGTGACCTGAGGAGAGATATGAAACAAGTGTACCTCTTAACTACACCAGTTTGGTTTGCAGTGATGATGCTTGTTTTCTCTTCCTCCCCATTCAGTGGATGGAAACTGGGAGGTGTGGAGTGAGTGGTCTGTGTGCAGTCCGGAATGCGAGCATTTGAGAGTTCGGGAATGTATTGCGCCACCTCCAAGAAACGGAGGAAAGTACTGCGAGGGCTTGAGTCAAGAGTCGGAGAATTGCACTGAAGGGCTTTGCATTCAAGGTGAGTAACAGTTGGCACTGAATTAGATTTAGGAGTATGGCCTAAAATGTATACTGTAATCCAGGTAATGTAGCATATTTGCCACACCCACATCAGCACAACTCTTCTGGCTGAAATATTACTGTGAAAAAATAGATTGTTTTCAGAGGGTTGCATACGTGAAGTTTAAAATCCTCAGTGGTTTCTGAGCTATTGCATTTGTGTAGCACATACTTTACCTATTAATTATCAGATGATTCAAAAAATCCAAATAAAGGTTTTTTGCAGGTGTAATTATGACCACCTGCTACAACGTATTTCACAGAATGTACTACTACTTAGCCTTCTACCTTTTCTTGCAAGTAAACTGGCAAATCACCAACATGAATACTTTTGGTGCAAGAGCAGAGCTGTTTAAGGCTGAAGTTTACTCCATTTGTTGCCTTTAACACAGAAGTTAAATAAAGGCAAATCTACTTCATGGTGAGTTCCCTGTGAAAGGATTTGCCCTTCATATAAATGTCTGGAAAGCATCTGGCATTTGGTAGTTGCTACTATCAACAAACAACTAGGAGCCAAGAAAATCAGCCCTGCAGCTGTAGAGTTGCAGAACACCCGGGGACAGCTGCATAGTCTCAAAACTAAGAAGAAATTCACAAGTTTATTCCTACACTGAATGCTGCTCCCTATCCACGAAGTGATACAGTCACCTCATCGCGTTCTAGCAATGAAATGGCAGTGGTGGGAGCAATCAGGAATGCTAGGGCTTAAAGATGTAACTGAAATAAGTCTACCTTTTCTTTAATTCTATATTTAAATAGTCCTTTTTCTTTCTTTCTATGGTACTGCATTACCCTTCCTTCTTGATCTTTTGCATATATGTGTTCATGTTATGCCTAGCAGTCATTTTCTTCTTCCACCGTCATGCACACAACAAAAGGAATATGGCTATAAATCTAAGCCTTGTGCTCCTAACCATCGCCTACGTGCTTACAATAGTGTAAGTGCCTATGGCCTTCCCCCACGTGCACCTTCCTAATACTGGTTGGCAGTTTCAGAGAGAAACAGCTGCTGTGCCCAGTGAGTTCTTCAATGAAGTACATCTGGTGAGATGAGGAAAATAATTTTCTAAACAAAATGAACTCCCTTTTTTGCCCTGAGATTTTAATAATTTCTTAATGGCAGATAGCATCCTGTATATTTACTCAGGTTTCAGAAATACGTGTACCTCAGCTGAGACATTAAATAAGATTTTGTTTGGGTTTGGAGAGAGGAACACCTACAAGTCTTGCTATATGTCTCTAACTACTTAAAAGTTTCCAGGGTTACAGAACAGCTCTCCAGCTCCAAGGTGTCAGGCAGACAAGCTTCAGTGTTCAAAAGGATATAAATTAAATTCAGACTTTTAAAACATGGGGAAGAAAAAAAAACAAAACAAACTAGTGAGAATATGTGAGCGCTGCAATTCATTCAGCTTTTGAGGACCAATGTGGTGATCACATGATGCTTTCTGAGGTCTTTCTCCCTCCTACACACTAAATGAATGCCCTTCCCTGCAGATGGCTTGATAAATCCAGAATCCATTCATGTGTGCAGATTAGCATATCCATTGGAAGACTGTCAGAAGGATGCATTGAAAGGGGCATGAAAAGATGCAGCTGAGGTCTGCACACTTACCACTATTTGTGACAGTCATGAGTTGACTTACCATATAGTTGGCTCCTTCTGTGGTCTTCATCAAAGTTAATAAACGGTGGCCGTATTCAGGTCACTGCTTCCAAGAAAAGCCTTAATGACACTACAGGGTGGTAAAGATTACCTGTCCTACCTTGAGAATAATATCCTTTCATATTGTGTCATTGTGTGTCAGTCCTGTGTGTCATCTTCCATGCTGCACTTATGCTTTAGAGGTAGAGGAACAAACACAGTATTATGCTTATTTTGGTAGTCTGAAAGCAGCACGTGGCCTGGGGAAGAGCTATGGTTATTAAGTACTGAGATTCATGATACGCATTTTATTTGATGGTGATGGCTTCACTCCATGTGGGAAATGACTGAAACTCCTCGAGTCCTTGTAGGCAGCACAGTCGGTTTCAGACACAGACCGGGCCTCTGAGCACTGCTGTATCAACAAGAAGGTATTGTATCACATGGGCTTTTGTTGCTGGCTTCTCTAGCTGTTAATCTCTCCTTTCTTAGCCTCTCACTCCGAGGAGCTCATCCAGACACTGTCTACAGGCAGGTTTTAGAATGTCCCTGTCGCGCTCTGTATGGTGGTGAATTATCACTTTAATATCAGTGCGAGTCCTTCTCAGATGTCACAGAAGTGTGAAAGGTTGGTGCTGTGCTTGCCAGCTGTCTTTCGAGGACTACCTCTGATATTTACTGCTAATTCCAGAAGTGCATTTTCAGGAACTATTCTAGGATAAAGCCCTCTGAATCTTTTTGTATGAACGAAGGTTTCACGTACTGGTCAAATGAAATGTGTTACTACATATGGAGGGAAAGGGACTGGATGTTTCGAGTTCTGTTCACAGACATGTTACCAGTGCAATGGTTGATTTTTATTTTTTTTTTTAAATGTGTCTGCGTTCCCTAGAACAAGACTTTTTCATAGTAAGAAATATTAAAACTGCCTTGTAAAATTCTCAAGGGTAAACTCTGTATGTGTTGGTGCATTCATTCAGTGTTCTATGCCTTTATTGAAAACTTGCTTTGTTAGTGACTGATTTCTCTTAATGAGCAACCTTTACCCCCAGTACAGGTCACCAGTGCTGAACTCTGAATAAGGCATTCAGGATCTAAATCTGTATGGCTTGCAGCTTTAGTAAGAAGCTTGTGTGCAAGTCCCTTCAACAGAAAGAGAAAAGGGGGTAGGATGTCAGCTGGTCCAAACAGTTCACTTCATCTCAGAGGGTGTATGAGACAGGGGGAGAGGTTGGCTTTTTCCAGCAGATACAAATGTAGTAGTTTTGGCTGTGGAAAATAAAGCAGACTGCCTTCTGAAAGGTCTGCAAAGAAACATCAAGGCTGTAAGGAGCCAGTTGCCAATTCACATTCCTTCTCAGAAAACAAAATAAATTAAAAAAAAAAGAAAAAAGACATCCCATGACAGTCATATCACTGATTAGACATACTCATACAGTGCAGCCAGAGTATTTATTTTTTATCTTATTAAATTTAATGCCTATAAAAGATGTCATATTGACAGCCCTGGAGTCATAAATTCTCTGTTTATCCATAGAATAGAGTATGATAAAGTATAGCTTCTCTGCTATTGCTTTACTTAAGCTCCTCTGTTAATGTGCCCTATTAAGAACTCCAATAGCAAGCACTGAAAGAAAGCCCTTGCCACCAAATTATTTGATAGATGGGCTATTGGAATAGTTACAGCATGGCAACTAACTCAATAATTACCTGATGATGATGATTTTCATTGTCTGTCATAAGTTTTGTATAAAATCAAGTTCTTTGGCTCAGGTACTGTTCCTCTGCTCTATGTTTGTATAGCCACTGGTGCAAAGAATATTATTATTAATGAACCCCAACTTACCTGACTCATCACACTGCAGTAAAAAAGAAAAATGCCCCAACAAGTTGAAATCAATTGAACTAGCACAGGATTTCATCATCACCTTTTCAGAAGAATTGTAATTTTTCTTTGCCATGACATTTAGAATCACTTTATAGATGCAATTTTAAGAAAATGTAACTATTTTGCACAACTATGTGCAAACAGAAGTGAAGTAAACAGTGTATGACTGAAAACAAATGTCTGGAATAGCAAAAGCTTTCTCTTTCAGAAGCAAATCACTTTTCTACATATGGGACTTAAAATGCTCTTAATAGACTTAAAAGTTCTTAATACATTATGTGTAAAGAACCTGCCTTCTTTAAAATAAATGGATCACTATGGGTAAAAAGATACAAAAAGCATTTTTTAAAATATGAGTAAATTTTGTACAGATTTAATCAACTTAGTGTCAGCTGTGGAACACAAAGTGTAAAATATAACTTCGATGTTAAAAGGAACTATCAAATCAAAATCATTTTACAAAGGATAAGTGGCGTAAGTAGTAAACCCCAAATTTTATGATTGAAATGAAAAGCCTTTTAAAATCTAAGCCTACTAGGGATGCATATGTTGACATCAAAGCAATACTATTTAAAATTAACAAATTCTCAGCTTATGCTGAATATCTGGGGGGTAGAGGGAAATCTGCTGCTGCTGGATTTTCCATGCAGCAGTCTCATTGGGTAAAGTATTTCTATTCCTTTTATAGGGTGAGATGGGAGTTAGGGAAACTGTGAACTAACAACAATAGTCTAAAATTAATCCAAAGACAAATATAATGGAAGATTTCTCTCTGTTGCACACACCAGCAATTTTTCACCTAGTATGAGATCAGAAACTGATCTCCAGGTGTTTTGTGGGGAAGAAAATCCATTCCAGTGTAATTTGGAGTTGAGCATGCTGTCAGTATTATCCTTCATATGCAACAGTACTTCCCTGGAACTGAGTAAGCTAAGTACTAAAAGAGGAAGCTAAAGCCTAGTGATATAAAAGCTGTTACTGTTAGGTAACGAGTGGAGCTGACATCAGCTCTGGCCTACATGTTCTTTGTGTTTTAAATAAGCTCGTCTCCTCCTTTTGCTGTGATGAGTAGTACCAGGAGTGTGTGTTGGTTCTCAAAGTTGAATTTCCATATGCATTCAAGTAGACTGAAGTATTAAGTGTCTCTTTTTTCTTTCATCTTGGAGTGTGATACTATTACTCCTTTATAGGTCGTGCTGTATGTATATACTTGTGTCAAATTATTTTTAGGACTGTAATTGCTTTCTCAGCTAATAGGAATTGATGCAATTACCCTATTTTTAAAAAATCTTTTTCCCCTGTTCATCTTCCAATATGTGCCTTTTCTGCTCTGCTTTTCGTCCCATGGGGAACTGGGAAGGAAATGCAGTACTGTGCTACAGAAAACTAATCTCTTGGAGGTTATTTATCAGGCACAACTTGTTAACTTTGTTCCTTTTGTGAAGCAAAAATAGAAATGAAACATTTCTTTGGTTAACAAATAAGAACTTAAATGAAAGTAAGGATGAGAACTTAAGATGCCAGGAAAGCGTAGGCCTGATTCTGAACTGGCGGAAAAAATACTAATCCTTAGCATGAATTTTCAAATTTGGAGTCAGTAAATGAAATGGTGATAAATGAGGGCCTACTCTCAGGTTCTTTATTCAGTCCCTGACCAGAGAGGTTAGGAATAACACAACGATGACACCCTTCCATTCACAGGAACATCCTTTTTCTCGCTTTGGTTTTTAATTTTCTGGATGGACCCAGATAGTCCAGTCCTTAACTGAGGAGCAACTGAAAGTACTTTTCTTTCAGGGAATTTCTTCTAGGAGTTGTAACAATTGAATAGATGCAAATTTATATGCAGAAGAAAAGTAGAATTATTTTTGGTTTTGATATATACGAAAGATTGCCAGGCCTGCCAAGTTGGGAGACAGAGATTGACTCAATCTGAATGCAAAGGCCACTTTCACTCAAGATAGTCCTAATAACTTACTAGTTTCTTGCATATTTGTTCTTTCACTGTTTATTCCCTACCAGTATTGTTGGTAGTATACTTTTCCACAGTGGATTCCTCCCTATCTTGCAGAGGTGAAAGCTTTTGCTTTGCCTTAGTAAAAGAGACGGTTTTGTAGAGTTTTTTGTTTTATCTATTTGCTTTAAAGCTATTTTTTATAACTTCAAAAACTATTGATTTCTTTTCCCAGTTCCCCTAAAAGAAACAAACAAGTAGGCCATAAGCAGATGAACCACAAACATGTTTTTACTAATGCACCATATATCACAAATAATTTTGTTTTCCATTTTTCAACCAGCCGTGATACTGAATATTGCCAAGAGGCTTCTGGATCTAGCAATCTCACCAGTTTATATGGCAAACGCATTTCCATTGTATTGCAGTTTTCTGTAGCTAGCACTATGTCAGCAGCATGCAAATGTTTGTTTCCATTGCAAAGCTCAAGTCTGACACTATTCATTTGGTGTTTACGTACATTACTTCCTACCAAAAATAAAAACAACCTCAAGAAGAAAAACACCTCCACACCTTGCTTTTTGGCAAAACCAAAATCCAAGAATCTTTTGGGTTAAGCATTATTAAACCTATCATTTTCACAAATACTAAAAATAATAGAAGGTGCCTAATAATCTATTTGCTTACATTATCACATAGTAAAACACTAAGCTGAACATCTTGTACCTTGATGTGGTTCTGTTAAGACTGTTCTTTCCCAGTGTAGATCATAGGATTGCAGTAACAGGGACTGTGCTGATAACTGACGTTTAGAGGTAGCCAGTACCAGATCCTTCACACAAAAAGAAACCCAAAAGATAAATCAGTGAACAGCTCAGTCAAAGGGAATTTCCTTACAACACAAAGCACCTACAAAACGGATATAATCTTATCTGCTTAAGGATTTATATCCCACATTTTATTGTCTATTAGATTAGTCTACTTCTGCTGAACTGCTAGCCTCTGTTGAATTGTATAGAAATAAGTACATTACGTGCTGTGTTTTGTTTTCTTCAGGCAACCTTTCAACAAAAGGTATTGGAATAGTTGCTTAAGTTAGGCAGACTGCCCAAGAAACTAAGGGGTGGCAGAATTACCTTAAGACTACATTTATTGAACATGCAGAGGGCAGCCTTGGGACAGTCCCAGCCACCCCACACAGAACATGAATTTGTAAGCAGGGTCTTGGAAATTGCAGACGTGTTCCCTCCGGACTGCTGCACGGGGACTGGCATGCCCGGCAGGCTGCTTTGCTGCTGTGGTCACCTATAGAGTCTGTACTCATGCAGTGTGGGTGCTGCACAAGCCTGAGTCTCCCATTTTCTAAAGATTACTTTTTCAGATACTAGGTTATAAAGGATAACTCAAATGCTTATTACGAGGGAGACAGAGAAGTCTCATTTTTGAGAGATGCACTACTGTATAAACCTATTTTACAATATATTTGCATATGCATGGTAATACATTGATTCTGTATGTTCTTTATATACACATATAGATGTCATTACTGATGTATATTTAGATACATAAATGTGACCATATTTTATGTTTTTATATTTTATAAATTACTTTGTGTCCATCAGTAACCTTTCCATATGTCAAACATACAAAGAAATAATTAAATCTTAACTGACTTTCTTTGCCAAGTAATCCACTTCAAAATATTGAACTTTCTTATTGATGAGATGTATAATATTCTAAATAAATGCATCCAATAAAGCTAACAAATACTTGAATTAACCAAGTGAGAAATTACTGCAAAGAAACATCCTGAAATAAATTTAGGGGGAAAAAAAAAAAGATGGAGGGAAAAATATGGACAACATAAAATATTCATATTGTCAGCAAACAAGCAGAAAATGTTTCATTTATAGAGCTAGACAGAAGCGATATAGGAAATAGATATGCTCCATGTAAATTTATTAAGTGCAACTTTCTCTCTCTCTCTCTCTCTCTCAGATAAAAAACCTCTTCATGAAATAAAATCCCAAAGTAAGTTATTTTTTTTCTCTTGTAAATATGATTTTTCTCATCTTCTCTGCCATTCTGTTTTATTTGTTTAGGAGTGAAATAAAACTGAAGGTTATATGAAAGGCTTTCACATCTCCTGAAAGCATCTTCTTAGCAACTTTGCCATCATAGGTTTTGGACTAGAAGTAGAAAAGTCACCATTCTTTAGTAATTTGTGTCTGACTGGGAGCGCTTCCTACAGGCATGCTTATCTTGAAATTGATCTCTTTAGGACTTGTAACTAGAAAAAAAAAAGAAATTAATATAGGAATTTGGCTTTCTTGGCTCAAATCTGGTTCTGCTAGTGTCTCTGTCTTACCTTGTTCAGCTCACTTCAGCCTTCAGTTAGCAACTGGTAAAGGGTGTTTATTTGCTTTACACTGTAAAGAGTCTATAGATATCATTTATATATGCTTTTGGGGGGCTTCCATCCTGCACTCTTTGTTTTTTAGTCTTAGATTGCTTTCAGTGGAATTCTAGTTATAGAGCAACACATTTGGAGTGAATTGACTAACTGAAAGATTTTGTTACAAAAAAGAAAAAAAAAAACCCAACCCACAACTTCACCAAAATCACAATTTCCATGAGGCTTGTCTCTTCTAAAGTGAAGACATTGCTTTTTTCTTTCATAAACCATACACAAAGTTTTGAGGATTTTTGCTTAATTTTCAACAAAAAAATTGTCTTTGAATTTTGACAAATAGATTTATAAACACATTTTTTGTTTAATTGCTTTGAAGGACTTAAAACAAGAATCCACCTGTACTGAGAAGTAATGCATGCAATTGTTTATATCTTCTTTGAAGACAGATTCTTCTATTAGGTATTACAAAATATGTAGGTTTTAAGTCTGAGTATTCTTCCAGGATATAGGGGCATAGGGTGATCAGATTATTTGAAATTTTATGGAACTTGGGCCCCAAATCATTAGGAGAACATTTAGAAATCCTAACCTGACTGCACTTCCTTTGAGCTCACATGCTGTAGACTGCAATGTCAAAACACTCTGCAGCAAAATTTCTTGCTGGCTTGAATGAAGGCCATTTGGTTATCTGATCCCAGAGTATTCCTCTGTCTGATAAAACAAGTTGGTCAAGTTCAAATCCATCTAAACCACAGACAACTTCATAACTATTTACAAAGGAACATAACTAAATTGCAACAAAAATGTGATGCAATAAAAATAATAATTATAGAGAAGCACAGTTATTGTCCAAGATGGCTACAGCTCTTGGTGAGTGAAAAGTGTTTGGCTTTTTAAAAGCTCTCAGTTTTTAATATGATGTAGTTATGTAGGGTGCATGATAGCCACCCAGCTTCACCCATTAAACGTAGAAAATGCTTGCGTAGAAAGAAATGAATGCATAGAAAGCTTGTGTGAGAATATTTCTCCTTTATGTTTCCCTAAGTATTTCTAAGGAAACACAAAATCAAGTTTAGATAGTTCAAAAATGTGCTGTGGTTGCCTTGGCTGCTTAAGCATTTTTAATTTTGTCTTGTCTTTGTCTCACTGGAATCATCTTCTAACTGGTCACGTACAATTCGTCTGTGTCATAACTTAGCTCAGGCAATTGATATGTTTTTGTTTGTTTATATGCACAGTTCCCATTTAATTAGAGAATCTTGAAAGAATATCAGTCAAATCACTTTATTTTCTGATTTATTAAAAAAGTAACTTTAATGGAATTGATTTTGGCACATAAGATGCCTAGGAGAATTAAAGGGTTTCTTTATAGCTGTGGGGTTAGAAACATATGCTACAGCTTGTTGCTATTCAGCTAAACAGGAACTTAGTTTAAAACTGCATGAATCATCATTGATGCAAAATCAAAGTCAATTATGAAGATAATTGAGAAACAACCTGTTCTACTAAATAACCTCTTACATGATTCTCTGACTTTTGATCCTCGGTCTCGAAGACTGGCTATGTGAAGAAATGGGCTTAAAATTGCTAAGGGGTACCAAAAGTGAGAGTGACAGAAAACTGGGGGAGGACGGGAAGCTGGAGAAATCTTTCAAATCTCCTAGCAAACTCTAACGGTAGACGGGGGAAAATGTATGCCCTGCATAGCTCCTGGAAAGCACTTATTGTAAATGAGATAATTTAATCAATTACGTTTCCTAATGTACTAAACCAAATGTTTCATTTTCTGCTCCTGCACATCTTAAATTATCTTCAGGTGCTTTATGAAACTTAATCATAGTTAATAGAAACTTCATTACCATCAAATGTGCTTTCAATAAACGTTGTGTAACAGTGTCAGGAGGTGGAGTGAAATATAGGCTACAATTACCACAAACATGTATCCTGTAACTGAAATGTATAAGAATTGTAGTGCTTTACAAGAGTCCCGACCTCCTCTGGGCTGGGAGGATGCAGTTCATTAAATAGTAATTGGCTGACTATAAATGTTTTCTTTTTTAGTTTGTTTTTCACTTTTTTTTTACCCTCTGGGAAAAAATAAAAGCAGAGAATTACTCTGTTCCCCAAATTTGCCATGCTTTTCTTTTAATTTCTAGTCTCCCCTAAAAGGAATCATCCATAAGAAAAGATAGAAAGATGAAGAGATTAAAATTACTGTAAAAAACCCAGTATTTTTTTCTAAAAAAATACTAACATCCTAAATAAAAATGAAAGTCCTCTTTCTTAAGCAGTTGTGTTCCACAGGAACAATTCAAAGGAATACCATGTCACTCTTGTTTTACTCTTTTAAGATAAAGCTATTTAAATATTTGCTAAACTCTGAAAAGGATATCCTTTTCCTCTGCACTCTATGTGTTGGTTACTTTGGGTTTGTGGATGTTTTTCTTCCCTTGCAATGGAATAATTATGGGAACACTTGAATAACTTCCAGGTCTTCTATGAAACAGGACAATGACCTTTTTATTAAAGATAAGGAAATTCAGAGACAATAACTGTAAGAGGTTTTAATCATATAATTTATATAAAAGTATCAAATTCAAGTTCTAGGGATACTTAAAAGTATTCACTGAAAAAGAAAAATTCTCTCCAGAAAAATTTTGCTTGAGTCAAAGTGTTTGCATTTTTTTAAAATTCTGTATTCTTGCTCTCATCTTTGACCCATGTCCAACAGTCTTGTGCAGTTATAAAAGTATGAAACTTAAATTATCTGACATCTGAATTGATTGAAAAGAAGCAGCTAAACTATTTAAGTAGATTTAGAGTAATAAATTGTAGTTACTCACAGGTGAGAACTTGAAGTGTGTTTTATATTCTGGTTTTGATGGTGAAAGATCAACTCCTATATTTGCTACATACTGCCATTATGGTGGCAGTAATTTTTTACTGATAGGTTATTTCTGCATGTTTCAGACTTTGTAATTTATTATCCCCAAAAGGTAGAAGAGGTAACTCAAATTTTCAGCACTTTTCCGTTTTAAAGTAATGATCAAAATAGAAGAATTAAAGATACTTTATGGTAAAATAACTACCAGCTCACTATGGTTCTCTAGAAAGGAAAAGAACCCACTTGCTATTAGGTTTCTTCTACCACTGGAGATATATAGCATTCTTCCTCTTGGCTTATTCATTGTACTAATTAACCACAAAAATTAAGTCAACAATAGAGTTTCATAATTAACTCCCTGTAACAACAAAATACCTTGGGAATAAAAAATTGGAAGAAATAGAAATTTAATTCGTTTCTATACTTTTCTTTCTGCACCTGATACTAGAGAATAAAATGGAGGTGAACCAGTATGTGATTAAGGCACTGGATTGGGATTCAGGTTGTCTTGGTTAGATCTGAGGTACTCCCAGTCTTCCTTTGTGACCCTGTCTTTTTGTGTTTGCTTTTTCCATCTGGCATAAGAGAACATGGGCATCTCCCATTGTTAGTCTGATACATTTACACTGTCAGCTAACAGCTTACTTCCTAGAATTCCTAACTAACTCTGAACCTAAAATGCTTAAAATTATCTTTACAACATTTTCAAGGGGGCATCTCATGAAAAAAATGGAGAAAAAAAAGGCTTCAGAAAGAAATCTTTTTCTTTAGTAATTTATTTAGTAGAACTGTGTGGCAATTCTAATGTTATAAGAAGTTGGATAAGAGCTACTTACTTACAAGTTTATTCACTTGTGATTACTTGTTGTGACATGCCACAGAAGATGGATTTCTTCTGAAAGCTGATATTTGCATGGAAACTTTGTGGTGGTATTCCCCCCCCCCCCCCACGTTCTAAATGTGTTAAAAATGGAAACCTTTTTCAGTAGGAGGTTATTTGAAAATTCAACAGAATTTTTTCAGAAGTATTTTCTGGGCTAAATAGCAGTTCTAGTAAAACATTTCAAAATGTTTATTTTGGGTTGAATGGGATGTTGGAATGTTGTATTTGGGGTTGACTGGGAACAGTTTGAGAATGGGGATGGAAAGGGTGTTTTCTATTAAGGACGTTTGAGCCAAAGTTTATTTTACTTTTGATTCAACTGCCCAACTAAAAAAATCAGTTACATTGCCTAACAGCAAATATCCCACGTGCTCCCGCCCACTTAAAGCAGTGTTTACGTACTTGGTTTCCTTGCTGCTGCAATTCATATGGCGTTTCGCTTATGTTAGAGAACAGTCGGTACTCAGCTATTGCGTTTGGCAGCTGGTGTGCCTTCCCAGGAAGTTCAGCTGCTTATATTGTTAGTTGTCAGACATTCAGTTTACATAGGAAACTGGTGAGCCAGGAAAATTAGCTTTTCTGATGCTGCCCATAGCTACTCATTTCTTTCATCTCAATGGTCTGAAGTTTCATGTTCATTTTAAAAATTCAGCTAAACTAAAGTTATCTGACTTTCTGCAGAAAAACATATGCACAACAGAAGCCTCCTCCCAAATAGTAATTAAGTAATTTCAGTAATTGGCTATTTATTAAATGCTGAATTTAACTTCCTACCCTATTTCTGTACATTGCAGTTTATTTACTGCTATTGAATAGTCTGGATTTCCTAGTTATTTTTTGTCACTGTCGTTTGTTATAAATAAATGCACTTTCTGTACCAAGTGCTTCTCACTTGACAGCAGAAGCGCCACATAGTAGGATAAGAGATGATGTATAGAGTGAATACATGATTATCTCTTCCTCTAAACTGGAGTTTGGCATTAAGGAACTAAGGACCCACTAAGTGTACTTGTCAAGTAATTTAATTTCATGGTACGTGGTCCCAAATCCCAGAAGATCTAGAATAGTGGGACTGGATAATTCAATTATATAATATCGCAGGTTTCATTTGGATTCATTCTTTCAAAGCAATGAATTCTTTTTCTCTACTATAAAATTCTGAAGTGTTAGAAAACTTGGTTGTAAGCTTAATGCATGGGTGTGATCACAGGGAAGGTTCGGTTTCCAACCTATTTTTAAAGACTGAAGATGCTTGCAGGAGACCGAGAAGATATGTGGGATCTCCTCAGCCCCTCTCTATGCTGTGAGAGGATGGATTGTTCCTTCTTATGCTAAAGCTCACACAGAAAATAAAGAGCAGGGAAGGGGAAATCTTCACTAAGATTTTTCAGAGGATTCATAACCTTCTGGCTTAGCTCCAGAGTTCAAGCCTAAAACTTACATGTCCCTGGAAGGTAGCAGCAGATGAGACTCATGCTGAAACCTAAAGCAGCCCTCCCTAGCTGCACTTGTTCCATGCCCTGCCTTTAAGGGTTGTATTACCATACCTTAATGATCTCCACCGGGCTGGAATGGGAAGCGATGGCATACCTCAGCAAGGAGCCCAAGCTAGCAGTGTGTGCTGATGAGGGAGAAGGCTCTTTAGTGGTAAGTGCTCTGACTGTTACGATTCCAACTCCCCCATTTTAAAAAAAACTGTGAAGACCATGATGCAAGTCCCAAAACAAAGTAAGCTCACCTATATGGAGTCATGCATCAGGAAATTTGCTTGTGCTTTCAAATGCTTGCTTTTCAGTATTCCTTTGTGCTCCACTATCCTGCTGTGATCTGCTCCACATTTACGTCTCAAGCTTTACTTCCCCGGCCAGGTGGCTGTGGCCTCATGTAATCCCCTTTGCTCATGGCCAGCCAGTGCCAGTCAGAACGTTTTCATGAGTGTTGCTGACTTGGTACCCACTTTTTCTCCTTTCAGATATTGAGACTGCCAGTGACATTGCCTTGTACTCCGGCCTGGGAGCAGCAGTCATTGCTGTAGCTGTGCTGGTGGTTGCTGTTACCCTTTACAGAAGGAGTCAGAGTGAGTACGGCGTGGATGTGATTGATTCATCTGCACTGACGGGCGGCTTCCAGACATTTAATTTTAAAACAGTCAGACAAGGTTAGTGTTGTGATTTCATTTTCTTCTCTCCAGAGCTCCTACTGCAAAGAGATGCTAAGCTCATATTCAGTGACTGGCTGTGGGAGGGCATTCTAGCTTATTGCTGAGCAGATGTGTTGAAAGCCAGAGAAGGTTAGCTGCAGTACAAGGAACACGATCAGGTGGTTAGAACTGTCTTTTACTGTCTCTGCTACTGATCTGTTGTGGCAACTTGGACAAATACATCATCTTTCTTGACCACACTCTTAAGTGCTTTACAAATACTGTCACTAGCTTCTACACTGAAAAAGCCCAAACAAACCAAATCAAATTAACCAAATCAAAACAAACCCACAAAGCATGTCTGTAGCTAGAGATCTTCTATTTTCTTTACTCCAATAAAAGTGGTTAGTTTTTTACTGTTAATCTGAGAAACTCAACTTCAAGTATTTTTATGAGCTGCTGTTAGCATGCAAAATCCACATTCTGAGGTCTGTGGGAAATAAATATGTGTAAACATGTATTGATTAAAAAAAAAAACCACCTTCAGAAAGCCACCAATACAATAAAGTATGGAAGAAATACTTACTTTTACTAAAAGCAGCACTCAGATGTTTTCTGGAATATTATTTCCTTTGGACAGAAAGGTGGGGAGGAATACAAATGGTGATTACTTTAAAATAGTATGTTTCCTTAATTCTGTACTGACATTCTATCATAAAGACCTGCCTTATTGTGGGTGGGTGGGTGTGTTGGTGGGGTGTGAAAGCATGCCCATGTCTCTTCTCTCTTCAGAAAAGTCAGATATGCTGCAGTTTTTTGGTTGGGTGCTGTTTGGGGGATTTTGTTTGTTTGTTTTGTTTGGGGTTTTTTTTGGGGGGGGGGGGAGGTCATGGTGTTTGTTGGTTTTTTGTTGCCGTTGTTTTTACAATTACTTTATTGTCTGGGAGACATTCCTCGCCAGGCCTAAATTGCAAGAAATAGGAAAAAGGGCTTGCTAGACAAGGATGTTTACTCATTCGTTTAAAAATCTGAGCCTTTAATTAGAGTCATGTAACTCTCAATGACTGTCTCAAATAGTAACTTTTTCCTTTGTTGTTCAGTTTGCCATGAAAGTCTTGTTTTGAGTCTGGGGAATTGTTTGTTTGACTTAATGATTCAAAAACATTAGTTCTGGATGCTCTGAAAGTATCTGAGTGTGCCAATTTCTCTTATGCCAGGATGCTATTAGTTCAGTTTAAGTTGCTTTGGGTTCTCTGTCTATGGGTTTTTTTTAAATAACAGCATTTGTAAACTAAACAATTCAGTGGAAAAAAAGGCCAGTTCTCTGTTCAGTTTGCTGAGAAAAGAGAGCACAATACTGACGTACAGACAACATATTTATAAAGTTAGCAACCCAACGTGCAGTCCTTTAAAGTGATCATATTTTCAAGGATGCAGTACAGATAATTTTCACAAAATCAGTTACTCTGGAAAACTTTTATTTACTAAAACCCAACAAACCAACCAAACACAACCAAACAAAAAAAAGACCAAACCAGCTAAAGGATTCAGGCCCTAAATCTATCTATTCCTTCTCTTTTTTTCAGACTTTTGTGAGCTAAAATTGTCCTAAATGAATGTGTGTTATTTTTCCCTATATTACTCTTGTCCCACTTTCTTTTCAACCCAGTTTGCCTCAGGCATGAAGCTATCATTTTGTGTCAGCCCATGGAAAAAGTCTGCAGGAAGATGTGTTTTCACCCAGTGGGTTTTAATGTGGGAAAAAAAGAAAAAAATGGGCATACACACAAACATGAATCCAAAACAAAAAGGAAGTTCCTTCTTGAATTCATGCACTCTGGAGTTGCCTGAAGTGCGGAAAACATATCGATCAAGTACCTCTTAGATCTACTGCATCACTTAATCTGTTTTTTAACATTATCTTATGTGATTTTGAGCTCTGAGAGTATTGGGAAGGAAGAGCAAGTCAAAAAGGAAATGGTGGAAAGGTCAGAAAGAGGTTTCTGATTTACCACCTTAATACAGTAACTAACTCCCTGATCTGCTTCATTCTGCCAGGTAACTCCCTGCTTTTGAACTCATCCATGCAGCCTGACTTGACAGTGAGCAGAACGTACAGTGGACCAATCTGCCTGCAGGACCCCATGGACAAGGAGCTAATGACAGAGTCTTCACTGTTCAACCCGCTGTCAGACATCAAAGTCAAAGTTCAGAGTTCATTCATGGTGTCCCTAGGGGTGACGGAGAGGGCTGAGTATCATGGAAAGGCACATTCTGGAACTTTTCCTCATGGGAATAATAGAGCTTTTGGTACAATACAGGCTAGAAACAAGGCTACGTATATTCAGAACCTGTCTTCTATTTCAACAACAAGTGAGCTGAAGACAACTGCCATTTTTGGACACCTAGGTGGCCGTTTAGTGGTTCCAAACACAGGTGGGTAGATCCTTTCTCATTAGCAGCATATAAAATAGATTCAGATTAAACTTATTTTGCCTGATGTAGTGTTCTATAACTAAATAAAAAGGAAAGAAAAGAAAAAGTAGGGGCTCTCTTAATGCAAATTTTGGGAAGTAGAGCATGTTGCCCACACAGGAAATGACTGATCACAAGAAAGCCTGGGATAAGTAGTAAAGAGGCATTATGCCTATTTGAACTGTTATAAATTACTGCCTCTCTTGATGTCTTCAGCATCAAAGTCCTATTAATCAAAGCTGTTGCTTACTTGGATCCTGATCCAAAACAAGGGCTCCCCAAGAAGGAGGTCGATATTGGATCATCATCTTATATAATGGGGTCATATTCAAAGCAGAATCTACATGCATCAACATCTGACTGCGTTAACATTGTCAGACTTCATTATGTTATTGAAGTCTGCAGCATATAACAAACAGATGTCTCTGGAGAATAGCTTCCACTCTCAATGAAAACTCTAGTGCGGCTTTCATTAGCATTTACTCCTGTCTTTCTCGTTTTCTCTTTCTTTTAGCTTAATAGCTTGACAGATTTCCATAGTGGGGCACTTCAAAGTCAGCTGACATTTCAAGAATGGGCTACGCACTGAACATCACAGCAGAGATGCTCAATTTGCATTGTTTAAGAAGTAGAGTTTGTTTTGTGACTTCAGAGTTTTGTTAGACGTTATTTTAGACTTAAGAAATTGTTTGTTAAATTAGCTGAAAATATATGGCACCAAATTAGATTCAAATAAAGGATGTTAAAATCATAGTCCTGCAGTATGTTGCACTACATCACTATGTTCATATCATGCTGAATAAAAATTATGTTGGATACTTTCTCTTTCAAAATGGCAAATGTAGCAGAAATCACCACATACCACCATTGCTAGCTAAGAGGATATCTTTCAAACTCTGGCCATCTTTATCCACTTTAAATTCAACCGTGTGTTCATTTGACTAGTGCGTCCAGGCTTATCTCTTAGTATCTAGTTGAACTGAATGATTTAGAGCTTTATCCTTCATGTTTCATAAAATGGGTACTTTAAAGGTTACCATAAAAAATGTGGTCTGTATTTAGAGAAGATTGGTAGCAGTATATAATTCAGGGATACAATAGTTAGTGTACAGTCATACACAACACATGGAATGTATTAATTTCTTCACAGATTGTTTTTATGTTCAGGAATTAATTTTACAAAGGCAGAGGCACTAAGTCAGTTAAGTCATAAATGAAGAAGTCCCTTATACTATATATTTAACTACTTTATATAATGATAGTCCCATCAATTAGATCATTTAAATACAAATTTGGTCCTTTTGCAATTTATATACTTCCCTTCTGCCTATTTATGTAAGATCAAATTTGGTAGCCAATTGTAAATTATAGTGCAATCATGTCACTACTTAGTTGAGGTTCTGCATCGTGTGACATATGCAAAGTAAAATATAGTCTTTCTGTATTGAGTACACTATACAACAGTCAATTTCACTGGTACCTGGTGGAAAGCATCCTTGTTAACTTCTAATTTATACTAGTGGAGTAAAAGGAAAATCGTATCACTTGGATTCACTAGTTATTATGTATATGAACAAAAATGTATGGTGATTGCCATGCAAATTCAGATTAATTTGATTAGGTAGTCTCCATTATGAGATTCCTTGTGATCCTGGAATTATCAGATTTGATTTCGAAGTCAGAAAGAGACAAAGAGGTTTCAAGAGAAGCTGAAACCATGGTCGTGTTGTAAAACGTGGAGCTATGCAGATGGCAAGAAGTGTATCACTACAAGGCATTTTGGCAAAGAGTGAAAGAGTCAATGAAGGATTAAAATCTTTCATAACTGGCTTGCCCTAACCACCTTCCAGAAACTGGCAAAGGCTAACTTAAAAGTTACCAAAGGCACATGTGCTTTTCACTATATTTATTATTTTTAAAAAAGAGAAGAACAATTAAATAGGGAACTCAAAAGAGATTGTTTTATTGCTGCATCAGATAAAAGCCTGTCAGGGTAACAAGACCATCAAAGTGACTGGGAATACAAACCACTCTTGCTGGAAGCCTTTAAGGAAACAGCTGATGGTACCTTTTGTTTCCATAAATTATTCCCTCTTGTGTAAGTGGTGAAGTCAAAAAGAAGTCTGCCTGTACCCAAGGATGAGAGAAGCCTTCAGTCGCATCTAGACTACAAATCCAGTGTCATTTAGTGACACAAAACAATGGGAAGTCAACTATTTAAGAGTTGTGTTGGAGCAAGAAGTTTTTAGGCATATGACTATGTAATTCCAGGCTCTAAGACAGTTAAATACTAGTAACTATATGGATCATATCAATAATGTATTTTCTTTTCATCTGATAATGTTGTAGTCAGAACCACTATTTCAGAGGAGCATTCTTCTGCTCTACTGGATGGCTTTTCTAGGTTTTGTAAATCAGAGGCCAGTTGTGCATTGTTCTTTACATCCAGTGCCTTTCCCATCGGTAAGTTCTGCCTTTGCTCTTTTGTAGGAGTCAGTTTGTTGATACCACATGGAGCTATTCCTGAAGAGAGTTCGTGGGAAATCTATCTTGCCATCACTCGGAAGGAGTCCAGGTAAGAAGTACATTAAAAACCTACACACACCCATCCAGAACCTGTGGAACTGTCTCATTTAATGATTTCTTGTCAACACTTTCTAAAGGAATGGAATGTGCAAGAGTCACTCCATCTTCCCTGTTGCTGGTGTGACCACACTGTTGTGACATACGCTGTATCTGTATAAATGACAGCAGCAATGATCTTTGTGCGATGCTTCTGTGAAATCACGTGGAATTATTGCAAATGTTGTTAAAGGATGGGATGCCTCAAGGAGATTGATGCATGATAAGTGCTGATTTCTGAATCAATGATTTTATCATTTTTGATTTGCAGACTTATGTCATGCAAGTCTACTAACAGCACAGGTGCTTTCATTAATTACTTGTTATAGAACCTTTGGGTCCAGAGACTCTCATAATATGCAGATAGCGGGTTAAAATTTGCTATCCAGGTCATCAGTTTGAATGACCCTATGGTGTGTAGGTACCAAATTGTTGTTATTTCATGACAGTTGTTTGGTAGCCTAGATGATGCAAATACGTGAATGCTCAGGACCATTTCTTAAATTATGTTGTTTTATAAATCATCATTAAAATCTGTTGCCCAGACAGATTTGCCGGCACCAGCTGATGAACAGTACAAATTTAACTGCACTTTGATCCTTAGGGGTTTTTTCAACTTTGCATCTGGTGGGACAGGAAGGTGATGTTTGAAATACTGGTGGTCTTTCATAAACAGACAAGTTAATTCTCTGAGGTTCTCAAGGTTTCAGCTCTGTCATGTTTATTTCAAAGAGAAGAAGGAAAAAAAGGAAACAAGAACTATGGTTTGGCAAATGCAGGTCACTGTTGTTTTTAATGTTGGTGCATCATGTATGTTGCAAATGTCTGTCATACAAAAGAAACCTAGCTCATTTCTAGATGCTTTTAAAACTTTTAAAATGTTCTGTTAGATGCATGGCACTGAATTTGGTTGCCAGCTGCACATGTGGGTGTTTTCATCAATTCCGCTGTAATCACTTCAGTTGCCTTCACTCTGCATCAGAAAGACAATGGAATTTGGCCCAAAGACACTTGCTTTAGAATGGATTTTCCCCTTTATTTCTATGAATAAACATGGCCAGAGAAAGAGATGGTTTTAGCAGATTTTGATAGCTGTTCCCATAAAAAGACTTCCTAGAGGCTTTAATTTTCACACAACATGGATTATAAAGAATCAAAGTGCTCTGCACTCTCTTGTTCCTTTGAGCCTGACAGACCACATATCAGCAGAACCCAAGTTTAGTTCAGTTTGCTTGTTTGGTTCACTCGCTTTCAGCTAGAAACTGATCAAACCCTACAAGAGAGTAAAATTAGAAAACTGGTATGTAATTGAGTGTAATTCAGCAAATGAAGAGAGCTTGTTTAGTCTTAAGTGTAGCATTCTCACTAGACTAATACCTGGGTTCAGAGGGAAGGTAAAGCTTATGAAATGCTACCCATAGTGGTGAACTGTTGAGACCGTTAGAACATATTCTTCATTTTTAGACCTATGGTTGGTTTGTTAATTCCCTAAGACCATTTTTTTGTTTGTTTGTTTTTGGTTTTTTTTTTCATGAGGTAAAAGTTTGTGTTATTTAGTTTCTAAGGTAAGTTTATTCTAAAGTGAAAACTTTAGGGAACGGTTATGTTTGGTCCTTGGCAAGTTCCCTGTGAATTTAAGTGACTTGAGAGATACTAGGGTTTGCACTACTCTTAAGAGCTGAGGTGAAAAGCGCTAGAAGTGCTTGGGGTAAGAAGTGCAACCATTCATTAACTAAATAATGAGCCTAGTTGCCATAGTGAGATACCGGAGCAGCCCACAGTGCCAACACTGGGTCAGGATGCCTCAAGTTGCCCCTGAAGAACTAAAATGCGTTTGAAGTTAAGTCTTAAACTTCTTGTCTGAAATTACAAGTAGAAGAATGGGAAAGAAAAACAGGAATCTGATCTCAAGTTACTGTCTAGACACCAAGCAGTACTTAAGATACCTCTCAAATTGCTACATGTTTTAGTGTTATTAATGACCAGTCATACTGTCTACTTTCAGTATCAAACCTCCACCTATTGTTGTAAATACTTGTCCCAATTCCTTTGCCCATGCAAGCATTTGAGTTTGAACAACACAAGAAACTCCTCTAATGGTTTGTTTTACCCCATTTCCTGCCTGTATTTTCCAGGATTTTGTGTCTTTTTGCAGGTAAAATACCGGTAAATATACCCTGTCTCTTATCTTCTCAGTGAGGTATTACTCAGGAAAGCTTGCGACAGTCATTCTGGCTTATATACTTTGTTCAGGTACATTCCTTCCCCCTGCCACTCCCCAATTTAGGCAACCTTGATGTTACCCTTTAAGGATTAAGTGTCAGCAAACGCAAAACATTAAAAAAATCTTGTGCTCAGCCTTTGACTTGTGCTACTAGACTCTGGTATGTGTATCACTTAAGGCTTTGTTTTCATTACCGCTAATGTATAACGTAGTATACTTCACCTTCTTCACTTACTGTTTACAATGGGTTTTCTTTATTTTGTGACTCTAAGTAGAGTCAGTCTAGTGCCTGAATAAGACCTCTCAGGAATATACTCATGGCAAGCAGCAGAAACAGCAATTTAGTCTTTTTTATAGCACTGTTCACCTTGGCATCCCTCCCCTTTTCTATGCTAGATAGAACTCTATTGCTGCAGGTAGGCCTCTAAGACGAAACAAAATTTCTCACCTCTTGCTGTCACTAAATGTATGCAACGATGGTTTTAAAGAAAAAAAATCATTAAAGCCGGAGTCTTTCCCCATTTAAACCTAGAGGAACATCTAGGTACCTGATGTCAACTTCTAAAGTAGTAAGGTATTCTGTGTCCTTAAACTGTCACACGCTACTCTTCCACGCTTCTGAACAACTGCATTTCAGCAGTGGACAAGGCAATCTCTCTACTGCCCTTCTCTGGAGGATAAATGACTGCTAAATCTTTTGAGACTGTCAGCTGAGAAGTGACAGGGATGATAAAATTATATTTAATTGAAATAAGCTACTGAAAAGCACTCTACAGTCCCCCTTTTGAGCTGTTGCCAGAGGTCAGCTGCTGCATCTTGTGTGCATCTCTGCAAGTACAAAACTGTGTCTTCATCCAGTGAAAAGTGTTAATGGTACAGAATCTGCACATACCAGATCCTCAGTGAGTTTAAAGTAACAAGGCTCGTTAATTCTGTAATGTGGCTTTGTTCCACTGAGGCTTTTCAGTTAAATTTTCTCACCTTTTTTTCCTTGCTCTAATCTAAACTTCTCTTGAATTAATTTCTTCTGTTCTTGATGTTGAGTCTTTCTGCTGCTCCTAATTCTGCATGAGGCTGGCAAACTATAGTTCAGTAAGTGCACTGACAGAATTTATTGGTCCTACCCTTACATCCAGTCTTACAAGTTGCAGTGAGGCACTCCAAACAATATTTTTGTTCTTAAATAACCTTCTTAGCTTTCTTGAACTGCCCTTTCATAATTTACCTTCCAAACAGAGCTAAGTGAATAATCTGTAGTGTATACTTTAACTGATTAATTTAAGGATAATTTCAGGAGACATTGGTCCCAGGTGAAGAGTGATTCACTGATTAAGTCTCATTATGAGTACCTGTGAGAGGGACAGTTTTTAGAAGTAGTAATCAAGGGCAGGTTTGTACAACTGGAGACAAGAGAGTTGGTTATAGTTCTTTACAGCAGTTATCTCTCTTATCTCCCTCACCTTAAATATACATTCAGCTATAAGCACTGAAAAATTGGTGGATATATCTGAGGAGATGTGGAAAGAAGAAAATAACTGCATATACAGTAAATATTTATTTACAATAACTCATAGCCAAAGGATTGCTGGAATTTTCCTTTAAGAACTGAAAGATACAAAGCTGTCTATAAATTTTAAAGCCTAGAAATATTTTTCAAAGCTTAAAGAGAAATCTATTTTTTTCTCATATCTGAACTCCTTTGTGAAAACTTTCATATTCCATCCCCATCTGCTGCCATACGTTTTTGATCATTTTCCATGAAAGATTAAGATATGTAAAAGGAAGGAAGAAAAAAAAACCCCAGCTGTTTTATCTGCAAGGGTTCTGCAGAAATGAATTAAAATAGGTTAATTAAAAACAAGCAGCAAATTTTGCCTACTCTTTTTTTTTTTTGTAGGCAGAAGCAGAGGTAGCAAACCAAACCAAAGATTATCACAGGGAGATTTTTTCTTTCCTTCTTTAAAGTGAAATTCTGTAAAGTGAGACAAAAGCAAACATTAATTTTTTTTCTCCATCAAAATACTGTATTTTTCTTCACATAGTTGAGGCAAGATTGATGTATCTTTCATCCATCTGAACTGAGTGGAATAAACCAGACTTTTCTAGCAGCTCCAGATTGCACTGACATGCAGGGAACCTTCTCTTTTATTGCCCATGGACTTCCATGTTCTGAGGGTGGAAGGAAATGCCAGCAGTTCAGAATTAGTACCCGAGTTGTACGTGTGTATGGAAGATGACAGAAGTACTAAACCACCCTGCAGAACTGCTATACAACAAGCACATGGTCTGTCATGCAGATATCCCTAAAATGTAGACAATTGTCCATCTGAACAGGCACAACGCTTGGATGTGGAGGAAGAGTAAAATAGTGGATTAGAGAAAGAGGATAGATTTTCTTTACTTCATAAGTTGAAGATGTACCACCATTAAAAATGAAGTGGCTCAAGTTATAATTAATTTCTGAATGAAACCTTGTCCACATCATATGGTAGTCAGTGGAATTTAATTTAATACAAGTCCTGTGTTGTTCTTGCAGAGATTTGAACTCACCATAATAGGTACCTTATGCATCTTAAATGTGTCTGAAAGAACAAGGATCATACTGTTCAGATTTAGATTATTTGGGACTAGTGGGTTAGCTGTCACTTCTATTCTAATCTTCATTTAGCTATTGAGGGAAGTTGGTATGAGATATACCTTAAAAGATGCAGAGGAACAGAGATGATATG